AGAGGTATATGTACAGTTAATTTTTGCCTTGTTACAAACAAATACAAATTACTTGACATGCTTAATATCTACTAAATTGACAGTCTTTAAACAACTTTTATAGGTATAAGTAAGATTTCATCTCATAGTTAAAATGGTCATATATGAAGTAAACCATCATTAGTTTTGCATATCATTATACGTACGTATTATTGTACTATATAAGTTTAGTCATCCACTCATCCTCTCTTTTATTTCTTTTTTAGAGTACGCCAATTATTACTTCGTACAATTTTTATGGCTAATACTCAATAAAATCAGATCAAATAAAACTTGTAGCAACATCCATCGATCTTCACATTGCACATACATATGTGTGAATCTACATTGGTGATTGGGAAAAAAGGAAATGGAGCTTTAAAGACTTAATTAGGACAACACGTACAATGACTTTAAAAAACGCGAGAAAAGGCCATTTTATCCACCCTTGCTTATGGCTAGTAATCTCCCGTAGATATCGATCTTACAATCCTATCATTATACTTTTTTCAATCAAGATGAGATGACACTTTGAATTCATAGATAGATCGATGCCAGAAAAAACATGTGAGAGAAATCAAAAGAAATCTGAATAAAAATAAGCAACCCCATCAGGATAAAGAAAACGGATATAAAGCAAACTACATTAGGTTCATTTGACATGGAGTAATTATTGATGCAGAAATGTCAGCATTCTATCAACTTCACCAATAATCAGTGGTAAGCAAACTTTTTACTAAGGTTATGTTATCTTCGACTAGTTTAATTCAGTTCCTAATTTCCTTCCCTCATAAAATATTTAGTTTAGTTCAGCTTTCATTAGTTCAGCTTTAATCAATGCAGTACAGTTCAATTTAGTTCAACTCAGTTCAATAAATCAGAACATGTCCTAAGTGTTTCGGGTATTTTTTGGATTTCCTGGGATACTGGTCACGCTCTGCTGGCAATGAGTCGGTCCTACCTGCAAAACAACGAATATTCCGATCAACGGAATATTCGCCTCCGACAATCAAGTCAGTGATCAGAACGGAAAAAGGGCTAGAGAGAGAAAGTAGAGAGAAGTTGGAGCTATTTAATGCTCTGTGTTTTTAATTGTCTGAAAAATCCCCCTCCCATCATAAATGATTGGGGCATTTATAGGGGTGGGATTCGTGCCCTTCTCTAGGGTTTATACCCTAGATTTGCGTGACGAGATTGGTTGCGCAATCAGCGATCGCCACGTGCCCCTCTGGGAGCGCCGTTCTGCGACTTTCAGCGTCATCTCTCGGAATTTGGGCCCTGACGTTGTTAGGGCTTTCTGGCGCGTTGTTTATTAGAAGGGTCATATTGCCTAGACACATGGCATCTTCCCGTGGTGACACGTGTCACCCTATGACTGGGCCACGTGTCACTATGGGATTGGCCTGAGACCTTAAAAGCTCTGGATTGCGTGGCATCTTCCCGTGGTGATACGTGTCACCCCATAATTGGGCCACGTGTCACTGTGGGATTGGTCCACGTATACGGGGTATTTTTACCCTCAACACTAAGTGCTTTTATTTTACAAGTAAGGAGTACTAATTTTCTTTAGCGGAAAATCAAATTACACCGAGTAACAAGTATATTTCATCAATTCATGATTCATCAGCTTTTATTTACTCGTAACATATACCACCTTGACATGTATTTTAAGAAAAATATTAAATTAGATATACGAATAAATTAATCAATTTGTTTACTTTTTCTAAATATAAAAAAATAGAGTAAGTATATGCAGTATTCTACTTATATGACCTTTTTTGATGAGTGGTCATAAATAATGGTAAAGGAAATAAATTTGTATGTAAATTTGTAAAGAGAATCAAGGTTAATTCTCATACTCCCTCCGTCCCTAAATTACATTTATACTTCTCTCTATTATGTGACGGAGGGAGTAGTACGTAATGCTAACTCTCCTCAATTTACCATAATTTCTGTAATAATAAATTTCATTCCTGCCTAATTAATACCTCCTCCCAAATGGTAATGAAAAATAAAATACTACCTCTGCTTCGCATTACTTGCAACAAAGAAATATTTTATGTCTCACAAATAATACCCTTTTGTTGCGAATAATGCGAAATGGAGGTAGTATAATAAATACACATCCTTGAAGATGAAGTTGCATTACGATCAATTATTACCGGCTACCAAATGGGCATAGATGCATAGTAGTACTTTGTACATATCTAGAAATAAACTTAGCTTGAAATTAATCATATTATCACCGTTATTGACATATCGCGTATCATTACGAATATTATACTACCTCCGTTACATATTATTTGCAGCGATTAGACATATTTCCTCTCTAGTTTATGTCAAATCGTTGCAAATAATATGTAACGGATGTACTACATAAGCTAAATTGGGTGAATGTTACACCTTCCTTCCATAAATAAGTGAAGTCTCATTGTCAACGTAAAAAAGAGCTTAGCTTTATTAAATTTGTGACAGGGCAAACCACTTTCAAGTGTTCGAATATCATATGTCTTCATCTGATGGTAATGCATTAAGCTTTGATGCTTTTTACTGATTGTCACATTCCATGTCCATTAAGTTCATTTGTAATCACTTAAAAAATAAAATAAGCTTATACAACATAAAAATAAGGAAATATTAGATTTTAACACCACACAAAATCCTGAAAATGGTTTTTAACACCTCCAAAAAAAAAATATTTGATTTTAACACCACACAAACTAACAAAAAATGGGTATTACCACCACTTAACGGATTCCGTCCAAAAATTTCGTTAAGTGAGGTCCTCAATGACACATGTCACCATTTTAGTTGTTTAAAAAAAATAAAAAAATATAAAAAAACCCTAAAACTACCCCAGCCCCACCACCGACCTACCCCTGCCCTCCCCGAAACCACCACCGGCCGCAACGCCTTCGCACCCCCAACCCAGCTGAACCCTCCCCCCCCTTTCCCGCAATGGCTTCGCCCCCACAAACGACCAAACCCAAAATCTCCCTCCCCAATACGATCGCGATTCCGGCCACAAATGGCCGAAATCGACCTGTTTTGGGGTTGAGTTGCCTTAACCGGCAATCATGATCGTATTAGGGAAGGAGGGTTTTAGGTTAAGTAGTTTTTGGGGGCGAAGCGGTTGCGGGAAAGGGAGGGGGAGGGTTCAGCTGGGTTGGGTGAGCGAAGGCGTCGTTGGTGGTGGTTTTTGGGAGGGTAGGGGTGGGTCGGTGGTTAGGCGGTGGTGGTGCAGTGGCGGGGCTGAGTTGGCTGGGTAGTTTTAGGTCTTTTTATTTATTTTTTATTTTTTTTATTTTTTGGCTAATAAGAAAGTGACACGTGGCACTTAACTGGTTCCGTTTAGGAATCCGTAAAGTGGTGGTAATACCCATTTTTTGTTAGTTTGTGCGGTGTTAAAATCATTTTTTTATGGAGGTGTTAAAAACCATTTTCGGGTTTTTATGTGGTGTTAAAATCTAAAATAACCTAAAAATAAACAGAGTTCTTTCAGTGCGGTAAGCCACATGGTGCTGCAAGGGTTACTTGTATTTTAGAGTTACTTGTATGAGTTATTTGTATTTCGGAGTTACTTGTATGGGTTACTTGTAGGGTACTACGAAACTTGTATTATGAGGTTACTTGTATGAGTTACTTATATCGTGGGATTACTTGTATGAGTAACTTGTAGGTGTTACTTGTATTATGAGTAACTCCTATAATAAGTAACTCTAGACCAAAACCCCGTACCAAACCAGCAACACCTTATAAGTAACCCCTGACCAAAACTAGTAACACCTACACAAGTAACCCTAGAATATAAGTAAGACCTACAAGCTAAGTAACCCCTGACAAAATCAGTAACATCCTACAAGTAAGTGAAGTAACCTCTGACAAAATCAGTAACATCCTACAAGTAAGTGAAGTAACCCCTGATTAAAATTTAAAACCAGTAACACCCATACAAGTAACCCTAGAATATAAGTAACACATACAAGTAACCCCTGACAAAACTAGTAACACCTTACAAGTAACCCATGCCGCACCATGTGGTCAGCCGCATATAAAATTTGTAATAAATAAATAAATAATACTTGGCACAAATTAGGTAGTTTGATAACACTACAATAATGCAATATAATTAATTGTAACTTGGATTAGTTATATAGGAACATATATGCACGAAAATCAGTTCATCGAGTGGTAAAATGTAAATAAATTAATAATTTTTAAATTAAAAATAGACCCTAAATATATTGATTAATTACGAAAATAATGGTTTCAACTATTTCAAAAAAAAAATAATGGTTTCAACCGTATCATGGCAAATCAGGAATACCGCAATACAACCCATACTGAATTAGTGAATTGTTGCTACTAGAGTAAGAAGATGAAGTGAATTTGAAAATTTTAAGGTTTTATGCAATAATGCATAACTATAAGAAAATATGGGCTTAATAAGTTAATAACACTGGCCCAACATTAGATGGATATATGTTTATGAAGCAAGTTATGGGCAACTTACAAATTGGATTTTAGACTCAAATATAATATGAACATTTTGCTACCAAAGATGAGAATCAGGTACTCAAGCCTAACCATGAACATTATTGTGGTGTAAATTTAGCCATGAAGTTCGCACCAATTAATTAACATACATTGGGTTCAAACAATAAAGACCGTTACTGCCAACAAACATTGTTCTAATTTCTAGAGATTTTTTCACATGATAATTATCGTATTAGAGTGAAAAAAATAAAGGAAACTAACACAACAAAGCCGACTAAAAATACATGAAATATAGCTTAAACACACAAGCACAACATGATGTCACATACTCACATAATCTAAGGATTACTCTTAACAATTTTGGCACGGTGTATAACTAGTGGATGGGCTACCCCCAACTCCCCAAGGCACAAAAGGAATTCAAAGTCTGATTTTAGATATCTAATATCTTAAAACATGATTGCTTTACGTAATTTTTCGCTTACAACATTGTCTGAACATCATGTATTTAACTCTCTTACTCATTAAAATATAATGATCACTTCAAGTGCCTACAAATTAAAATACGGACTATAAATATGCAGTATCATTCAAGAATATATACCAATCAGAGTATTGTTACAAATGATGGATTAAAAACCATAAGAATATGTACTACTGTAGAATAAAACAAGGCGCAGAAGTGGAAGAAGACGAGACCCATTCAACCTATACAGTTATTACAGTATAATGACTCTGCAAATATACAATACGAGTAAGTATATTGTTGAAGAAAAAGAGATCAACTGGGACAATCCCTGGCAAAATGACCTTCCTCTCCGCAGTTGAAGCAGTCCACTCTTCCTTTACTCCCAGCACCACGGCCACGGCCACGGCCACGACCACGACCACGACCACGAGAGCCATCAAATCCCCGAGCCCCTCCAGGCTCAGCATCAGCAGCCTCAGCATGAGCATGAGCATGAGCAGGAGCAGCATAGCAATCCCTAGCAAAATGGCCCAATCCGGCACAGTTATAACACTCCACAACACCAGTGCGGCGGCGTCTTCCTAGAGGGACCACGTCGATAGCTCTGGTTCTGCCATCTTCCAGCTGAAAGTCAACCCGTTGACCGTCGTAAAGAGTACGAAATCCGTCGAATCGGATGGAAGTCTGGTGAACGAAGAGATCTTCCAATTGGGAAGTTGAATCGCTGATGTCGGGGGTAATGAACCCGAACCCTTTCCAGCCATTGAACCACTTAACCGTTCCTCTAAACCTCTTGCTTCCCTCATCTGCCATTCTTTCTTTCTTTCTAACTTATTAACAAATGGTTGCTATTCATTCTCTAGCTTTGTACACTGATTAATTTATTATAATGGTGGACTTATTATGTGACTATGTGAGATCATGATTGAGACACCTCTCTTGACGCTGTGTGGAAGGACGAGCCCATGAATTGATCACACAATCAGATATTTAAATTTGATCGATATCCCCTTAATTGGCTATACTCTCAATCAGATCAATAATGCTTATCATATTTTTGTGTCTTTTAGTCTATATAGATTATATAGCGTCAAACAAATAACAACATACTACAAGTACTGGTCTACTTACCACGTACCATGTAATATGTTGAAACTAGAATAATCTAATGGACATCTATCTATATTCTATAGCCTTTTATGACTCTTATATTGATATAATTATGATTCCTAAATCAATAACAATATTTGGAGTAACGAGCTGAGTCAAGTGTTGTTAATGGCTGATATCTACGTACCCTCCTTACTCGAGGCAAATTAAAGCTAGCCACTTGATCGATTGGATTACCATTTTCTAGATAGCCACATCGTCAATGCATGTTAGCATCACTATCCTATTCCTTACTTTCCAAATACATACAGTAAATATGTATCAGTGGCTCCTAAATAATTCAAATTAGGACCATAATCTTAGTGGTTACAAAAATTCATTAGAAGTACTATTACAATTTTAGTGGTGGCAAAATTCATATAAATCTTAGCGGTGGCAAAATCCTTTCTTTTTTTTTTTTTTTTTTTTTTTTTTGTGTGTGAATTTAAAATTTGAACTAAATTTGTCTAAACTGATAAAATAAATAAAATAAAACAAACACACCCTTAATATAAACACAAAGTCTTATACTACGTATGTGGCTAGCCAGGCCGTATGGCCAGCCACTATAGGGCTTACTTCGCTATTGTAATGGGGGCTACTTCGTCAGGGTTACTTCGTCATTGTTATAGAGTTACTCGGTCAATGTTATAGGAATTACACGGTCGGTTTTATAGGGGTAATTTTAAGTGGCCACACGATGCGGCCGGCCGTAACAAGAAGGGTTGTAATATAAAAATTGGTCACAATATAAAATTCTTAATTCCCAACATGTAAATTGAAGAATATTCTCTTTGTTCCATTATAATTGACATATTTTAACTTTTTTCATTGTTCATTTAAATACTTTAATTATAACTTTTGAATTACAAGTATATGAAAACAACCTTTGAGTAATTAGTCTATAGCTTTTAAACCCAAATATTAAAAAGACTAATTAAAAAATTATTCTGTAATATTTAGTACCCACTTTGTTTTTGGTATATGTATAGATGGTGAAACTCAAACGAGTAATATGGAATGGATGGAGTAAAATTTCTGAATCACGGTCCAATATGGTGTAATGTGTATAGATTGAACAATGAAGAATGAACAATTGAACATCCCACCAATTTGATATTGGTGTAGTAGTGATCGGGACTGAACTTGGTAGGAATGACTCGTATTTGATCCCCCACAATAACAATCGAGAGGGGAATGGAACCTAACCATCCAGAACTGATCCTCGAATCCGGATTAGCTCTAAGGGTAAATCAGAAGAAACACCAAAAAAAAAAAAAAAAAATAAATAAATAAATAAAAAAATTGAACACCCCCTAATTACTGGGCCTAGGTGCAACTGAAGTAAAAGGAAAAAGAGGGTAAAAGTCAACCGTCAATGTGGGTTGGCAAAAATCCCATATGCCTCACGGGGGATTGGTGTTGGATGCAGGATTCCTTCTCTATCTCTCTGTCGTTGGATTCTATCATCCTCCTTGTTGAAATTTCTCTGTCATCAACGCAACTTCACCTCGTTCCTCAGTTTCAAGAGTTGCAATTCAATGGTAAACTTCCTCTCTTCTTTCTTTCTTAATTTCTTTTGCATTTGCTTTTCTCTCTTATTTGATTTTGCTATTCCTGTTAATCAATTGATTTTATCTCCACTGTTGTATTTTTAACTTTTTAATAGGCTGGATAAATTAATTGTTAGTTTTGGGTTTATCCCGAGTTTTCACTTTTTGCCTTGTTAATGGAGGACACATCTTCCATTTTGTCTTTTTTTCCTTTTTCCAACTCCTCTATTTTATCACCTATAAAGTAATATTATTAAATCAATCATTAATAAACTTGTTAATTTGCCTCAATTACCCATGATGTCATTTTTTTTGTGAAATGCTGACCTACATAGTACATACTCTCTCACTAATTTCTTTCTTTCTAATCATGTAATGTAATACGGAGTTTGAGCTTTACTTACCATACCCAGTCTTGTTGATAATTTGATAATTTATGAATTTGTCACTATTTTCCTGGAGTATACTATCGCTTAAAAGTCGTACATGTATGATGTATGTTTATTGTTTTCAACTGACTATTACAACTAATAACAGATAAGTTATGCTACCTGCTTCATGATTATTAGATGATTTCCAGCAGATTAATGCTATAGAATAACTATCCAAATCTTGTCATCTCTATCGTTCTCTTTTTTTTGTCTGTTTTACATCTTGATGATTGTTCATGCTATTATTCTAATGAACTATTACTAAATAATGAGGAAACAAGTTGGGGTAGATATTAAACCTTGGTCAAGGATACTAAAACCTGATGATTTTCTTCCTGCTTCTAGTGAAGCTGTCTACAGACCAATGGCTGCTGTTGAATCTGACAAGATCAGTGCAGAACACGTAACTACCGATTCACAAGCAACGCATAGTGCTTCTCTGGGACGAACTGACAGTTCCAGTTCATCGGTTGGAGGCCTTTCTTTTAGTTTGCCTGCTGGATTTACCTCACATTCAAATGATAATCTTTCTCCAGCAGAACTTGGAGACCAGGCACTTGATGTTAACAGACATCACTTGGCTAGTGATCTCCCATTGTCTGTTGAAAATGGACCTGCTCCCAGTCAGCTGACCCGTGGTGATTCAATAGCTCAAGCAAGCAGCAGTGGTGCCTCACTGCGAAGATTATTTAGCCTGTCAGGTGCTTCTCGCCCTTATCTGGACGAGGATGTAGAAAACGAATCTGTTTCATTGGCTGGGGATATTGGAGATAGGATAGTTAGCAGAAGAGGAAGTCAGAGGCAATCATCCATGGAACAAGGGATCGCTTTTCCAAATGCAGAAGAATTATTGAATTCATATGGCTTTTGGTCTCATAATCAAACCACAAACACCATATCTCCAGTATCACCATTGGTTTCTGAAATAATAACTCCACCCTCCACAAGTGCTCTCTTGCACAAGAAGCAAGTAAGCTCACGTTTAGATGTAGGGCTACCCCTTTTGCTTGAATCATTGTATAATGTGAGTGGTTCATTTGCTTTAACTTCAATTGTGCGTTATTTGATTACAGGAGGAGAAGAAGGAGCTGCCACCATTTTTTGAATATTGTGCCTACCTCATACATTTGGCTGTCTTTGGAATTCTTGGGGTAAGAACTTTTATTGTCATCCATGATTTTTAGAAATCGCAGTGAGGAGAACTTTTTGCAGTTTTCTGTATTTCTCAAATCTCACCATGTAATAACTCCAGGCTTTTGCAAGTTGGGATTGTAACTTGAGTCTTGACTTAGCAATATCTGATCTCGCAGGTCCTTACCAGGTTTCTACTACAGAAACTGTTTGGCTCTAGTGTTATAGGTGTGACGAGTGACAAGAGCATCCTATATCTTGATCTACCATCTAACATGGTATTATTCTTTTTCTTATCAAATTGCCTAACATGATAGATTTACCTTTCGATTCGATTCACTAGATGTGTAGAATTGAAGAAGTAACCAACTTTCAGGTGTGCAAGCTCCTGAGAAGGTTCTAGTTTTCTCTTTTATGCATCTTCAAATTCCCTAAACAACTGCTTCTCAAAAAATGGTTCTTTTGCCTCTTCAAGCAAAGATAATAGGACTGGTTATGTTTTCTTACAGAACTTTGGGCATATTGCAGGTGGGTTCATTTTTAATGGGATGGTTTGGAATAGTATTCAAAGGCAATATATCACAAATGTCAGATTACCTTGCAGTTGGACTTTCCACTGGTTATCTCGGAAGCCTTACCACCTTCAGTGGTTGGAATCAGAAAATGCTCGATCTTAGTGTCAATGGGCATTGGGTATTCGCTGTACTAGGCTTTCTCATAGGTAATTGTTTTTTTATGGCAATACTTGTAAGTTGTGATCTTTGTGGTATATTTACTATAGTCATGGCTTTGTTAATTGTAACCTTTCTTTGTAAATATTTTTTCAGCAAGTACATTGAAGTTTCATCATCTATTATCTCAGTATATCCTCACCTTTTGCTAATTGCAGGGTTGTTTCTTGCTGCTTATTCTATTATTATTGGAATCGAGACAGCTAAGGGTTTTGGGTGGCTTCTTGAAAGGACTGGAAAGAATTCAGGCTTCAGCAAGTTGAGGGTAAATAACTTTAAGAGTCACTTGATAGTTCTATCAGTATTGATGTTGGTGTGGGTTGGTTTGTGGACCACAAGTGGGATCTTGGAGAACAAAGAATTTAAAAATGGTGGCAGTGGTGCTCAACTTTGGTTGGGATGCCTTGTCGGTCCTTTCGGGGTTTGGTTGAGGTGGTGGCTTGCTCGATTCAATGGACGTGGATTGGGGAAAGCAGGAAGGTGGAAATGGATCCCATTTGGGACATTGGCTGCTAATGTGTCCGCAGCATGCGTGATGGCAGCTCTTGCTACGGTGAAAAAAGCGGTGAGATGCTTACTTTGCTTGCTTTTTTCTATTTGCTCGTACAATCATAATAGTGGGCTTGGTTGATGTGCCTTTAAGGCCTATTGCAGGCAATTGTGGTTGCTTTAAGTACACTCAAAATTAGATACATGGTTGCCTCATTAGATATTTGTTAGCATCAATTGCCTCGTTGCTTAATGTCTTAATCCGTTTTGACATTTTGTGGCTGCTCTTGATCTTGGCTAAACACTTGCAATCTTGCATACCTTTGTTGTTGAATTTGAGTTCATGAATTTTTCAGTTTATAGAAGTATGTGCTCAATGCTTTAGAAGTATTGCTTAACTTTATTGGTAATCCTTTAGCTGAGTATCTGAAAGTTTTGTGTAATTGGTGTAGGTCAATACAAAGGATTGTGACACAGTTTCCTCAGGGATACAATTTGGCCTCCTGGGATGCCTAAGTACTGTCTCCACATTCATGGCCGAATATAATGCAATGAGAGAGAGTAGTCATCCTTGGAGGGCATACGTATATGCATTGATCACCCTCCTGATATCATTTGGCCTGGGAACCTTGATATACTCAGTACCGGTGTGGACATTGGGGTACAATTAGAGCCTGAGATTATTTTTTTTTTAGTATTATTGAAATTTAAGTTCATCACAAAAATACACAATAGACGGTGCTAGTTTCATGTTGGGTAGGCAAGTTTCATCAGCTGATGCATATATATAGTTAGATACAAATAATACATCAGAACTCTGATTATCAGTTATCAGTGTCTTCTGTATATGAGATCTAGACACAGAACATGTTCTGATGTATTAAAATAGACAAAAAAAAAATTGCTGTAATTTATGATCCTTTCTAATTACTGTCAGCAGTTTACTTTGACTTAGTTCCATTGACAGATTTTTTGTTAATCCATCAAAGAGCACACATTGGTCCTTTTGTTACTTCTCAGCCGTGTCACCCCTAGGAGCATAAACATTAGACAAAGTTCTGCTAGAAATTTTGGCCCCTGTATTATGATCATTCTGAAAATGAAGTGTTTTCTGTCAATGGAGCCAATTTGGTTTGCAGTGAAAGCAATGAGTTTATTCAGAAAGCAAATCATAGGCTAAATTGCCAGGATACAAAATGAAATTCCTCTTAAGGAAAAAAAAAATAGTAAAAAAGATGCAGGAACTGTAAAAGGTAGTTTAAAGCGGATGAACCAGCTAGCTCAAACTCATATTATCTATCACTGAGGGAGCTTGTTAAGTTTACAATATTTGTAATCTGCAAACTTCTTAGTCTTATATTTGGCCGGATTGTTTTCGGTGATGAGCTCCGGGACAGGCCCCACCTCGTGGTGTGGTGGGGGCTCAATGAAGACGGGCCATGACATCCTTGTTTTTTCTTTGTTGACAGTTGTTCTGTGAAGCACTGCCTTGTATTTTCCATTGCTAAGAACCTGTGATTACATTCATGGTAAGGCCTAAAGGTAAGAAAATGAGCGGACTCTACAAGAGAGTAAAAAGAAGAGTTAGCAGAGAGTACCTCAAGTTGGTCACCTATGTGGATGATGAGGGCATTAGGAATGTAGCGGACATTGTACCAAAGACCATCCCTACAAACTTGAAGGCCGGCTACATCATTGGGAACAAGTATAGTAAGTAAACTCAAATCGGTGTGAGCTGGCACTCCAAGTGCTAATTCAGGGCGAGGACATGGTGGATAGTAATTGATCTTTGCCAGATACACCATTTCATCACCACCTCCTCCCTCTCTTATCTTATGCTCTTCCAAACCCAGTCCCTTTGACCAGCATTTCATAAGCTTCTCTGTTACCCCTATCAAGTATTTCGCGTACTCTTCATTGGCCTTCCTGTTTGGTTGGTTCCATGTTTGAGAAATAATGAATACTCGAGTCAAGAAGCTAAGAATGATAGCATATTAAAAAAGAACATACATATATACCTGTAAGATGGAGGATTCTTAGGCCAAAAATGGAAGTTGATAGCAGAGGGAGGCCAAATGTTGTGGAACAAATGATCAACCCAAGGCCTAACAGTATCAATATTCTTACCAAGCTTGTTGCTGTAACCTTCACTACCCTTATAACCAGGTGGTGGTTTTGAATAGACTTCCTTCTCTTCCTGGGGAAGCTCAAAGAAATCCCTGCCCGCCTTTTGCAGATCCTGAATTACTTGTGTAGGAATCCCATGATTTACGACTTGGAATAAACCCCATTCTTCACTGGCCTTTGAAATCAGATCAACCAGTTCATCTTCGTTGGCCTCGCTCAGATCAATGGTTGGCACTTCAAGTTCAGTACCATGCACCGTTGTTATTGCTGGCTGCTCGTTCTCTGACCTTATGAACTCCTTTGGAATGCTGCTCTCTTCTATTATTCTACTGCTATTACTATTGTTGTTATTGAACTTTAAGGCTATGTTTTGCACTTTTTCTACCTCCATTATTAACCTCAGCTCGCTCTAATTAGTAATTAATCAGATGTTTTTCTCTTAGCTTGTAATCACTAGGCTAGCTAATACAACATGCAACTCCCTTTCAAAGAAGAGTAACGGTAGAAGGTTGGAGATATTATAATAATGCAAGTCATGCAGAAAAGATGAAGCCGTTATATAGCCATATTTAGCGCAACTACCCCCGATACTAAAGTTTCAAAAAAGATAGTAAATGGTCTGATGTTTAACAAAGCTAATTTAACGACACTACTGCGCAAGAGGACAACTGATCTTCTAGAGTGACGTGGGTGAATGTGGTTCACTCTATAGATGTTACCAACCTAGATACACACATCTTACAATTTGCCCTGGCCCCTCATTAATACAACTCCTATTAATTCATGCACACTATGTCACCACTGAATACAAGTGTACACTTGTCTTGTAGATCAGACCTTGGAATACGTAGTACTCCGTATAGTATTATTCTTTCTACTTAACTTATTTTAGAAAGAGATAGTAAAATCTACTGTTTGAATTTTCATGTGAAGACTGGAGAGTCTCTAATGGATTGATTTGTGATTTGAAATACTACTATTAGTAAATAATCTCCATTTGATCTTTTCCTTGTCAATTCAAGTTGTATACTTGTGTAGATATATCATACTGTATTCAAACATATCATTCATTTCCGGCATCTCGCCAACAATTATAATTTTTTTTATGGCCTATTGAATGATTGATAGAAACTTAAAATTGTTTGTTAGCAAGATTAAGTAAATTGGGTTTGATTTGATAAACAATGATGGTAGAAATACATGTAGCAAACCGACTCTGGTAAATGGTAATGGTAATCATGGTTCTGAGTTCAGACCTCTATATATTTTTTCATCTACCAAATAATCACTTCATAATTTCATATCTTTAGCAGAATCATACATTCAAACAAATAGAATTGGAGATCATTAATTCCACATACACAATAAATTTTTTTTTAATATATAACAAGTTTATAATCAGATGAAAGTGCTATGTAGATTTAAGTATCCAAAACTACAAGGTGTAGCAACAAACACTAAGAGAATTTTCAATTTGCTAAAGCCTTAGTTTATGCCAGCTTTCGAGTTTGTACACACTATGTCACAATACAACTTCCGATGGTTAACATTAGATGAATGACTATTAACCGCAGCAGGAACCACAGGCAGGAAGTGAGCCTGAACCATGAAAAATATAGGTTAACACAACAATCCAAAGTTCAAAGGAACAATCGAATGAGGAAAAAGGAGCTTACTATGATCTGCACCATTAACATCCCTCAATCCACGAACATTATCTAACCCACGTGGCGGTCCAGGAGGACCACCACCGTAAGGGCCACTTCCACCACCAGGGCCACCACCATCCCATTTTTTGCTGGACCCAGATGATTTCCTATAAGCATCTGATTTCTCCATCTGCAATACAAGGCACATGCTAATATGTTACCAAATAACAGCACTACAAATTATTTTTATTTTTTCAACTGCATAAGTAGAGTAATAAACTAATGCAAACTAAATGTGATACTCACCGAAAACATAGTTGTAAAGAAAACTACAATGAAGTTGATGATAGACCAGAAGGAATCAGTGAGCGTCTTCAAGCGCCAGAATGATTGCTTTGATTTGACAACACCTGGCAAAGAAAAACTCTGGTAGTGAACAAAGGTCTGTATTGCCGGACATTACTACCAGAGCATGTAAAATAAAACTATAACCAAAACGAATGGATGGAAAGAATTCAATTTCTCAGAGCATGTAAAATAAAATGAGTATAATGAGCCCAACAGCTAAAGAAATAATCGAGCAAAACAAGAATTATAATCAGACGAGAGTAAAAAGGATTATAGACGTTGATACTTGATAGGATATAAGGAAGCAATTAGAGAATTTCCACCCAGAGGAACACACAAAGTAAAAGAAAGACCCCAAGACCGGAATTATATTGAATAGTTGTAATTGGAGGAACAGAATGAAATGAAATGAATGCATTCCATAAAATTGATAAAGTGGGTTTGTCCATTGAGTGCAACAAGACCATGCATATTTCATCATGAATATGTAATTGTTCCTGTTTCTGTTAAAATTTTAAGTGTCGGAGTTGGTATCAAAATATGAGTTGGTTATTCTTGTTCCATAGTATGTGGATGTATCCATTCAATTTTTGTTTGACATTATAGCTTATGTTAATCTCATCACAAGTGTTTTACAACACAACAAGTATCAAATTTCAACATGGAATTGTGTTAATAGAATCCTCACCATAGTCATCTGTAAGAAACAATCGATGATCTATGTGTATGTGTGACCTACCAAATCATTTATGGAAACACAAACCCTAATAATAATGATAACAACAACAAATTGAAATCAAAACAATTAGGACAACGAATTATGCACAGCGGATCGGAAGGAGATACAGTAATCTGTATTGACGAAAGCAGATCGATCACAAATGAATTAAAAAACACATAAATTAATTGAAAAACACAAACCAATTACAGTAAAAAAACAGCACAGAAATCAATTGAAAAATAACTCAGAAATAGAATCGACTGAAAGAGACGAACAAACATACCTCTCTCAACGTAAGCCATGGGAGACACTGCTTCCTGTAAAAGTATGAAACTTAAGATGGAGTTTTCCTTTCCGATCACCGGCTTCACCGCTACCAACTCAAACCCCCAATTTACTCTTTATATCTCTTCTATGGTTTTTTTTTTTTTTTACTCGTATTAATTAGGGGCGACGACTTATCCCGACCCTTATGGATGCAGGATGCTACAAGCCTACAACAGTACAACATACCAATTGCGCGGTTGCGCCTATAGCAAACTGCCACGTAGTATTAACGCGTCACCAATTTTATTTTGTAAACATTCACTATTTGTGTTTTTTATTTTATTTTACTAGTTGTGGCAACGCGCGCTACGCACGCGGGCAACAACTTGGTTAGCATATATAAGTATTGTTAATTAGGTTTTTTATCAATTGATGGTTGACAGTTTTGAGTATTATAAAAATATTTACAAAGTATAAAAAAGATGGGAGAACAAGAGCATAAACGTACAAACTGAATATTTTTACAATACAATTATTGTATTACATAAGTAAAGCTTCTTACAAAACAAATATGTAAATTTTGTAGAACCTCGTGTGTGTACAATAAAAATAAAAATATATATACTTATAAATTGCATTCAATTTTGAAACTTTTTGACCTTTTTTCGCCCGGAAATAAAAATTGCCGAGATGTTTACTATGGTCCCTAATATCCTCCGAGAATCCAATTGAGTGGGTGGAACCATCCAATTTGCCTTAAAATGATCAATTTACCAATTCTCAACTCTCACCGATTTTGTGAACTCAAGCCTACCACGGACATTTAAGACATCATATAATGGTCATATATGGTTCCAAACGGCATTATATGACCCTAAGATGTAACCCCTAGGGTATTAACACTTTTCGCCACCGGACCCCTTAACCTCAAAAATTCCTCAAAAAGCGTGGATAATAGCCTTCAATTTTGAAATTTTTTGACTTTTTTTTGCCCGAAAATAAAAATTGCCAAGATGTTTACCATGGTCCCTAATACCCTCCGAGATTCCAATTAGGTGGGTGGAACAATCCAATTTGCCTTAAAACGATCAATTTACCAATTCTTAACTTGCACCGATTTTGTGAACTCAAGCCTACCACGGACATTTATGACATCAATTAATGGTCATATATGGTTCCAAACGGCATTACATGACCCAATGATATATCCCAAAAGATCTCAAAAATTTTCGCCACCGGGCCCGTAACGTCAAAAATTCCACAAAAACCGTGGATAATAGCCTTCAATTTTGGAATCTTTTTACTTTTTTCGCCCGGAATCAAAAATTGGTGAGATGTTTACCATGGTCCCTAATACCCTCCGGGAGTCCAATTAAGTGGGTGGAACCATCCAATTTGCCTTAAAACAGTCAATTTACCAACTCGCAACTTGCACCAATTTTGTGAACTCAAGCCTACCATGGACATTTATGACATCATTTAATGGTCATATATGGTTTCAAACGGCGTTATATGACCCTAAAATGAATCTGTTGGGGCTTAGTGAGTCCGAATCACCACTCGTAATTAATAAAACCATAAAGCATAAATGAATAAACACAAGAAAAAGGAAGAACGAATCATACCCTTGAAGCGAGCTTCGCCCTCTCAAACGGGCTCTTACTTGAAAGCCTTGAGCACCGCAAATGCCGTGCCTCCAACGCTATCCACCCACAAAGGACGAACACGACTTTTTAGGTCTGCTACCTTGGAGTTAGCAAGGTCCGACCAAAACCCAAGTGTTAATGGAGTTTAAGAGTTTTTTTCCAAAATATGGAATGCTCTTTCTAACTCCCACTCAAGCACTTTACTCCAAATCCCAAGGTTGGTATTTATAGATGAAAGTATGAGTGGGAATTTCTATCCCATCAATGTGGGATCATGAAATTCCACAAATTAATCTAAAGCTAAATTAAATTAAAATTGCAAACTAATAATAAATCTACAAGTGGCATTACCATGTGAAATAGGTTGGTGAGGACCACATGGAGAGTAGGGGACCATACTTGCTCCCCACTCAATACTCTCCTTGTGCCACATGTCCTTACCCACTTGCTCCCATATTCCTTGAGCTTCCCAATTGATCGGCCCTATGGCCCAGCCACGAGCCCAACACGAGCCCAGCCCCACACCAAGATGCGGGTTGCTGCTGTGCGTGGCTGCTAGTGCGTGCACTGCTAGCACGCCTAGCTTGCGGCAGCTAGCTGCTGCACGCACCACGTGCACGCGGCTGCTAGCTGCTGTTGTGCGTGGCTGCTAGCACGCACCTAGCCAGCCATGCTAGGCTCGGCTTGGTGCGCTTGCTAGCCACCTATGCTTGGACATTTTTGCCCCTAGCATTCGGATGCTCGGGGCATTCAGATGCTAGGGGTATTTTGGGAATATGGTCGATTTATTATTATTTTGCGCGTCTCGTCTTTTTATTATTTTCGACTCGACTTCCGACGATCGGTTTCGACGCTCCAAGCTCGAATTACCGACGTCTAAATATTTAACACTCGGGTGACGAATTAATTTCTTCCGAATTAATTCGTCGAGTCGGTTCGTATATTTTGCTTGGGTGTGACCCGAAGGGTTCAGTCAAGATTAAGCTGTAATATCAATTATATTATTAATTATATTAATATTACTGATCGGAAGCGGCCTCTACCCAGGCATTTCGATCACTTGACCTTGCTGAATATATTAGCTTTTTAATAATTCTGAACCCGCTATCAGAATAATACACTTGTTCGAAGGACACCATTCCTTTCAATCTCCCACTTATCTTTCCGGACGAGTGTTTATTTAGTGTATAGCCCCTTTCCTATGTCTCTTCATGTCTCTTCATGAACTACAGAGTAAGATTACTCGTCATCTCTGTTACGTCCAGAAGTGTTTCCCGAAATCCGAGTTTGACTGTCAATAAGCAGATGAGTTCTAAAATCCATCTGAGCACGGCCATGCATTTTCACAGTCTCGCTCTTCGAGAGGCCTTGTAAACAACAAGACATGTTCCCTATTGTTAGTAGGGGGACATTTCCAGTCTTGTAATGTAGTTTCTCTTACTAAGAGGACGTAGCCGCCCGATATTTGTCATTATAATCCCCAGTTATGGCAGACATTTGGCGGATACCAAAGCGGACTAGTACTTAAACAAGAGACCTCCCACTACTCATGGTCAAGGAAAAGAGTTCCGATAGTAATAATGAGAAAAATACTTATGACGATTTTAAATCTCTTAAAGTATTCTCATAGGTCGATCCAATATGGTTATAAACCATTACCTGTGCAAATGATTTATATCCTCATAGCACAAGAAACGGTGCTATAAATCATACTACACACTAATCTCTAATGGTCATTAATCGTCCACAAAAATATGACCTTGATTAGGGATAATTTTCGATTAAAATATTCAATGTTCACTTAATAGGTGTTTCTTTATCCAAGCCATTGACTTGATACCCTATTTTGAATATTTATTAAAATCGAATGGACTCATTATTTAATTCTAAACCACAATTAAATAGAGACGGAGTGAATTAAATTGCATGAAAAATTTTAATTACTCCAAAAACTGAATGGTTCTTCATAGTGCTTTACATTAACATTGTCCAAAATTTAATTAAAACACTATAATATGGAAATCAAAGCCAGTTCGCGACATGATTGATTCCCATTGCCTCAATGTGTTTGTTGTGCTTCACTTGAGACAAGGGTTTAGTTAGTGGATAGGCTACATTGTCATCCGTTCCCACTTTGCAAATTCTGATTTCACCCTCTGTCTTCCATTCTAGAATCATGTGAAATCACCTCTTGACATGTTTGACCTTCTGATGTTCTCGTGGCTCTCTAGCCTGAGCAATAGCTCCATTGTTGTCACAATGGAGGTCTATTGGACCCTTGATGGAGGGTACAACACCAAGTTCATCAATGAACTTGCGAATTCAAACTGCCTCCTTGGCTGCCTCAGACGCTGCCAAGTACTCGGCTTCAGTTGTAGAATCAGCGGTTGTGCTTTGCTTTGCACTCTTCCAACTAAACGCTCCTCCATTGAGACAGAATATGTATCCGGATTGTGACGTGGAGTCGTCTCTGTCTGTCTGGAAGCTTGCGTCGGTATATCCCTCAACAATCAATTCATCTTTACCGCCATAGACCAGGAATTTATCCTTGTTCCTTTTCAGGTACTTCAGAATATTCTTGGCCGTAGTCCAATGCGCCTCTCCTGGGTCTGATTGGTATCGGCTCGTAGCACTCAAGGCATACAATACATCCGTCCTAGTACATATCATGGCATACATGATCGATCCAATAAGCGAAGCATATGGAATACTACTCATCCTTTCTCGCTCATCAGGTGTCTTTGGACACCGCTTCTTGCTTAAGGTTATGCCATGTGACATGGGTAGGTGCCCTCTCTTGGCTCCTTCCATTTGGAATTGAGCTAGTACCTTATCGATGTAAGTACTTTGACTCATTCCTATCATCCTCTTTGATCTATCCCTATAGATCTTGATGCCTAGTATGTACTGAGCCTCTCCCAAGTCTTTCATTGAAAAACATTTCCCGAGCCAAGCCTTTACAGACTCTAACAACGGAATGCTATTTCCAATGAGAAAAATGTTATCGACATATAATACTAGGAAGGCGATGTCACTCCCACTGACTTTCTTGTAAACACAAGACTCATCTGGATTCTTGATAAAACCAAACTTATTGATGGCTTCATCAAATCGCAGATTCCAACTTCTACTTGCTTTCTTTAATCCATAAATGGACTTCTTAAGCTTGCATACCTTCTTAGGATTGTTCTGGTCGACAAAACCTTCATTCTGTGTCATGTACACAGTTTCTTCCAAAATTCCATTGAGGAAGGTGGTTTTGACGTCCATCTGCCATATTTCATAATTGTAATATGCAGCAATCGCTAGAAGAATTCGAACGGACTTAAGCATAGCTACTGGAGAAAAGGTTTCATCATAATCAACGCCGTGAATTTGCCTGTAACCTTTTGCTACCAGCCTTGCTTTGTAAATGAATACATTTCCATCTTTGTGGGTTTTCATCTTGAAAATCCATTTACATCCGATAGGTGTGTAACCTACGGGTAAATCAACCAAGTCCCATACTTGATTTTCAAACATGGAGTCCATTTCGGATTTCATA